GTGTGTATCTATATATGTGTATGATTGGCTGACCCCTCACTATCCCCTGAGAATATGAAACCACGGACTGCAAAAAGTACGTGCGTTTTCTTCCAAAACTAATATACAACATAAATTAATAAAAAACTGTGAGTGAGATTGTTTTTATTGAACGATTGCATGTGTGCGCATCAGAGTAGTGAAGAAAGAGCAACGTCTCGATGGACGAATGGAGTGAGATCGGTTTTATTGAGCGATTGCACGTGTGCGCATCAGAGTAGTGAAGAAAGAGCAACGTCTCGATGGACGAATGGAGGAGAAGGCAAGTATGTTACGTGAGAGAACGAATGAAGCGAAGCATGAGTGCCATGACGCAAAACGATTTTATTTTACGTAATTTGTAGAATTTAAATATGTTTGTTTAAAGATTTAACACTAATCTCGTGTGAATAAACCTAATTACCTGCAACAACTTATTGTTAAAGTATAAGAGAGTACAGTCGGTGACAGTGTTAAGTAGGCAGCCTCTAAAACAGAGTCGTCTTACAATTCGACTTGATACCAAATGATGTATACTAAAAAATTGCTATTTGTCTAATAAAGAAAGAACATGATTTTTAACTCTTTCTTTGAATCTCCAATTGGAACATAATTTTTGTAGATGTGCGAAGTTTCATTAAAATGATGAAACGATAAGAAAGTTAGACACATTGAAGCATGTAAAAATTCTACAATTTTTTTTGGTTATAGTAAGTCGTGAAATTTTGCAATTTTATTAATTTTTAACCCTCAAATAAAAATACTAGCCACTTTTAATGTGAGCATGAATACAGATATAAATTTACAAAATGATCTAAAGGAAGTCAAATTAAGAACAGTTTCTTTAATTTTTTACCTAATTTCTACTAATTATTTTTTTAAGCAAATTTTTACTTCTAATCCTCCTAACTTTTCAAGAAACTCCAAGTCGCTTGATCCAATTGTGAGTTAATTATTTTAGAGAATTTCCACTTAATATTGTCCCCGACCTGTCT